CTGTGTAATAGCGGCTGGTATGGTTTGCGTAACTAGCAGTCTTGTTCAAGTAAGTTTTATTTTATGTTATATTTTATGTTAAACGTATCATTCCATGAAAGATACAGTTTTTATAATATTAAATTTAAATAAAGAATCTTAAATTAGAGCAGTATGGAAAAATAATTTTCTTTAAAAATATAATCATTCAAGAAATCATCATTATTCTTCATTTAACTTTTTTTTATAATCATAAACTATATATATATCCATTATTCGCATACGTATGTTATAAAAATGATACAGTTACCTAATATGCGAAATCCATAAAGAAAATAATTTATGATTTGTAATGCAAGTTGTATAATTTTTCCTAAGGAATTATAGAAAAATTTCAAAATTTCTTGCTTGTAAAAAATAAAAGTAATATATATAACATATTTTATATTTTTTTAGATTATATCACATAATAGCACAGGGCAACTTGTATTACAATTTATATACATAAGTGTTCTCTACTTGTACATATTTTTGTCTAATTATACCGCACAAGATATTACAGATCACAATGAATACGTATTTGCTACAGTGTAAGAGACATTTGTATCACATTAATACTTAAGTGATTGTTTTACAATATTCTTGTAACACAATGCTGAGTTAACATAAGCATTCAAAAATAATACTACCCTTGAACGAATATACTATAATAAATATTTTTATTTTTTCATGTTATGTTTTCATAATATGTTTATTAATTTATAATTGATTTGTAGATATGATGTTGAATGGTATGTGGCTCCGTTACACATACAGAAAATGATGTTATTTCTACTGCAAAAGGGTACAAAAGCTTTTCATTTGATTCTCGGTGGTATATTCATTGCGTCTATGGAAAGTGCTGCTACGGTAAGAGATAATATATAAACCTTTTGTTCCCCGCGAATATTATAGTTTAATCAAAATAACATTCACAGTCATTCAGCATTTTGACTACTTTAGAATTATTTAGATAATGAACTAAAGTAACTCTGTTAAAATAAGTTGAGAATGAAATGTAAATTAGCAGAGCTGAAAGAAATAGAATAATGAACAGCGAAAACTGTTAAATTGATACTAAATATTCATTCATTGCACTCAAGAATATTAAACGATAAATAATATTATACAATAAATCAATGTTCCTCATTTTAAAATATATTGATGAATTAATCTAAAAAAATGGATAATTTAAATAAGTAGGGAGAAGTCGCCTATATGATATTCCTTAACGTTTGAAAATTGTAACAAAAGCACCGAAGGAAGCAGAACATTTGTGTAATTAAATTAAACTTTGGTTCATTAGAAATAAAACGATACTTTTATGAAAATAAGCATTAAATTTTTATTTAAAATTTTTAAAAAAAGTTTATCTGTTGAATTTGAAGACCGAATGACATTGTACCACTTTCTAAATTATACCGCGTGCCTGGGGACGGAGGAAGAGAATGGACGGAACCCTCCGCAATCGTTAATATATTCGAAAGATTCCTGCTCTCGTCCTCTCTCGTAAAGTCAAAGTGAATTTTTTTTAATTAAATCTCGCTTTGTGTGCAAATCTATGAACCGCGCTTCACCTCTGAACAATGAAAGGGAAATTTTAATATTAATAAACAAACGTAATATATCGCTGTAAGAGTCAGAAAAACGTATGTACATATATAGTGTAGAACATGTGATGTATATCATGATGATGTATTCTACAGCTGATGACAGATTTCTTAACTTCAATATAATGAAGTGTTAACTTTAACACTTGATATCTCGTTTCGCAGGACAGCTGCCACTTTTTTCTGTCAGATTTTTTATTTTATGCAAAAACGCGTCAAATGAGCTAATTTCATCCAAATCGGAAGTGGTAATTCTTCTGGATAATTACCAATAGCAGTTTATATATTAAAACCTTATTCTTCTCAGTCCTTATATTCTTCAGAGTCTTTATGCGTTATAGGTCTTTTAATAATTCTTTGCGACCAATGCTAATCAAACGTAACCTAACAATGCATACGAGCCGCGATAATAAGAATTCGCGTCGCTGGTGAAAATCGTATGAGTGCAATATAAAGACCAGTAACAAGAACGATTTATCTAACTCCATCTATTTTTACAAATTTGCATTAACAACATAACTAACAAATATTTTGCTAATTTTATAAGATATTTGAAAAGAATTTAAATATCAATTATCACCCTTAGTACACTAAGATTCATTTATCACCTTGCACTGATAGCACTTTAAGCAAAAATTGAAAAGGCTTAAATCAGACACCAATCAAAATCAGTTTTGAATGTCACTCGTATTCAGACGGCTTCAAAGACATAACAAAAATGGCAGTTCTTAAGCCATGTTACTAGCATTACATCAGCGTCATTACTCTTAAAAAAAAATGTTTCGTTTAGAAAATACAACTGGAGATACAACTTAACCAATACGGCTTATCCAACCCTATATTGTCAATCCATTATTTTAACAGACATTCTCAACGCAGCTTCAATATAGTTTCTTACAGATTGAAATAAAAGAAGTTATTTTCATTACAGTTGATGGGTACTTCAGTATCTTACTTCACTGTTCTCTATTCTACAAGTACAAAATAATAATTGCAAAATAATTAAGACAGGTATGTATAAAAGTGAAAAAGATATGAAAAAGTAAGAGAGAGAGAGAGAAACAAAAAAGAAGAAAAATGTAAACTAATTTTTTTAAACTAAAATCGTTTAGCATTCGGTTTTAAGTATCGCTTTCTACAAGTATCGTTTCAATTTGAAAAAAGGTAAAAATTATTAAACAAAAAAACCGTACATATTATAAAATATTTATATAAAGAAATATAGAATATAAATTGACATTATTTTAATAAGTCACAACATTGAAATGTATGTGTTAGAAAGGCTCGTGCCGCGCACCTGCGAAGTCTATTATCGCATGATTCCCACGAATAAAGTATGTATTTCTTTATGCAAAATAAATATATGTTGCATTATTGCTATAATCAAATCGATCACTTAACCATACACATTTCCAGAAAAGTGAATGACCATCATGTGTTTTTTTATCCGACAATAATATTTCCTTCTACATTACATTTAAATTAAAATAGGCAATTTAGTATAAAATTTACATAATAAAGCTGGTTTGATACAAAAATAAACTTACATTCAATGTGTTACACAAACTATCAGAAATGTGAATTTAATTAATTTTTTCCAATAAAATATTATTAGAAACCTTTATTTACAATACTGTGGATAATGTTATATATACAAAAGTATATATAAAATATAAAGAGCTTCAATGTAAAGCGTAACATAAAATAATAAAGTATAGATTATAATAAAGTATAGATTTCAATACTTTAAGAATAAACACATTTTTTTTCAAACTTAAGATTAAATTTAATAACCAACACTATTTTAAAAGATCAAACGTACCTTGTGAGTGTACAAACTAAAATGAAACGCATATTACAATAAAATGCAATGACTGCGTTTGCGCGAATATCTATCGAGTTTCTCTATGCGAACGTTTTTCCATAGGATATAAACATCTATTAAATTTCTTTCAATGTTATGTTTTTCAATGTAATTAAATCGATCGTTTAATCATGTTTTTCTTAGAAAACCGTGATGAATTCTAAGTACTTTAATCTCGTGACATTATTGCATTTCGCTTTGCATATTAAGCAATTAAAGATACAATTTACTAAAAGAGAAAAATTGAAATATTTTCAACCAAATGTTAGTTTAATAGAATCGGAAAAAAAGAGAATAGGCAATTTCTTATTTTTCACGGTTAAATGTACTTCAGAGTTTACAAAGATGATTTGTCTTGAGACGAAACACTTCAGGCTCAATAAATTTCTTTTGCTCGCGATTGGTTTATGGCCTCACCAGAGATCGAAACTTGCTCAAATTCAATTTATCGTACTTTTTACTATTTTAACAACTTTTATTATATTTCAGGTGGCAATAAGTCATTTTTCATACGAAACAATAATTAACAGAATAGAATTCGAAACTTATTAATCACACTAAGTAATTATTCTTTTAATATGAAATTTTTAACAAAATTACTTATTTGCAGTTTACAACGTTTTTGACTTCAAAATGCACTGCAGATCTCATTATCAATGTTCTGTCCTCAGCATCTTTCTTCATTTGCTATGCGATTAAATATCATTCGTTTTGGATTAACGCCAATACTGTAAGTAAAATATTTGCTATACAGTTTCCAGACAAATATTTGTTATAAATAAATCTTCAAATTTGACATTTTTTTAATATTTTGTGGGAAAACTGCGTAAAATATTATTGATGTAATAGATCAAAGATTCACTAGAACAACTTCAGCTTGTTTGTAATGAAATAAAAAATAAAAATGAAATTGCTATCATAGAAAAGTATGGCCGTATAGGAAAACATCAAACGAGAATAATTACGAGTAAGTATAGTGCATATATGCTTACATTTTAATGAATTTTTAATAAGAGTAAAAAATTTATAAAGTTTAAATAAATTTTACTTAAATAAATTGTTGTTTATACATATGTATATAATGCACTTTCTAATTTAATGTTAGTATTTGCCGCATGTAGCATATCTACTTATCTCTTCCTGCCAATCTGGCCTCGTTTATTTGATGTAATTCTGGCTATAAACAATTCCCGATCACGCTCTGCAGCGATTTATACTCTAACAGAATATTTTGTTGATCAAGAAAACTTTTCCTACTTAATTCTATTGCATACGAACGCAGCCTTGTGCATAGGGGCAACTGCAATGACAGCAACAGGCACGATGCTGATTGCATACCTCAAACATATTTGTGGAATGTTTAGCATTGCAAGGTAGAATTCAATATGATCATTTGTTTTATAAAATGAAATCTATTCTTTGTTCATTTTCAATCAGATCTAAAAAAAAATTAAGAACTTACAGTAAAAAATATGTATTCATATAGTTTCCGTATTAAGAAGGCAATGGCGATTAATATGCAACAAGATGTTAATGAAGAAAAAATGGTTATAATTTATAAAAGAATGATCTGTGCGATAGACATTCATCGCAAAGCTACAGAGTCAGTACACATTCTGCAATATCTGTATAACGTGCTCTACTATAATAATTTGTTTTATTTCTGAAGGTTTTCTCAAGTGTTTATAAAAAGTTTTGAAGGATCTTTCTTCTGTTTAATAGCGGCTAGTATGGTTTGCTTAACCAGCACTCTTGTGCAAGTAAGTTTTATTTTTTGTTATTAAACGTGCGTATCTTTCCATGACAGTTTTCGTAATATTAAGATTGAATAAAGAGTCTTTAATTAGAACAATATGGAAAAATAACTTTCTTCAAAAATAAAAATCATTCAAAAACTCATGACTATTCTTCGTTCACCTTTTTTTTAATCGTAAGATATGTGCATTCTTCGCATACTTATGCCACAAAAATAATAGTTTTCTAATATACGCGAACAATAAAAAAAATAATTTATAACGTAACGCAAGTTCTATAATTTGTCCTAAGGAATTACAGAAAAATTTGAAAATTTCTTGCTTATAAAAAATTAAAATAATATATTTAACATATGTTTTATATTTTTTTAGATTATTTCATATAATAGCACAGGGCAACTTGTATTACAACTTATATACATAACTGGTCACTATATGTACATGTTTTTGTCCAATTATACCGCACAAGATATTACAGATCATAATGAATACGTATTTGCTACAGTGTAAGAGACATTTGTATCATACATTAATAATTAAGTGATCGCTTTATAAATTCTTGTAACAAAATCTGAATTAACAAAAATATTCAAAAATAATACTCAAATAATGCAAATATTCTTGAACGAATATACTATAACATATTATATTATAACAAATATTTTTATTTTTTTATGTTAGATTTTATATTAATTTATTATTGATTTGTAGATATGATGTTGAATGGTATGTGGCTCCGTTACATGTACAGAAAATGATGTTATTTTTACTGCAAAAAGGTACAAAGGCTTTTCATTTGATTCTCGGTGGAATATTCATTGCGTCTATGGAAAGTGCTGCTACGGTAAGAGACATATATAAACCTTTTGTTCCCCGCGAATATTATTGTTTAATCGAAAATAATAACATTCACAGTCATTCAAAATGTAAAGACTTAAATAAAAAATAAATTGTAAAGACTTAAATCAGACACCAAACAAAATCAATTTTGAATGTCACTCGTAAAAACGGCTAAAAGACAAAACAAAAATGGCAGTCCTTGGCAAGCCATGTTGCTAGCGTTACATCAGCGTCATTACTCTTAAAAAAAATGTTTCATTTAGAAAATACAATGGAGATACCATTTAACCAATGATACGACTTATCCAACTCCACCTTATATTGTTAATCCATTATTTTAACAGACATTCTCCACACAGCTTCAATATAGCTTCTTACAGATTGAAACAAAACAAGTTATTTTCATTACAGTTGATGGGTACTTCAATATCTTACTTCACTGTCCTCTATTCTACAAGTACGAAATAATAATTGCAAAATAATTAAGACAAGTATTTATAAAAGTGAAAGAGATATGAGAAAGTAAGAGAGAGAGAAACAAAAAAGAAGAAAAATATAAACTATTATAATTTGACCAAAATCGTTTAGCACTCGAGTTTAAGTGTCGCTTCCTATAAGTATCGTTTCAATTCGAAAAAAGGTGAAAATTATTAAACAATCGTACATATTATAAAATATTTATATAAAAAATATAGAATTTAGAATTGACATTACATTAATGAGTCACAACATTGCAATGTATGTGTCAAAAAGGGTCGTGCCGCGCACCTGCGAAGTCTATTATCGCACGATTCCCTCGAATAAAGTATGTATTTCTTTATGCTTATTATAAATAAATATATGTTGCATTATTGCTATAATCAAATCGATCATACACCTTTAACCATATACCTTTTCCAGAAAAGTGAATTACCATTATGTGTTTTTTTTATCCGACAATAATATTTCCTCTACATTATATTTA